CGGATCCCACATATGAGGGCCAGTGACACTGCCCTCTACAGCTAAGATGGTGCCAACTTGGGCCAGTGAAGCGACATCCTCCACAACTAGACTGAAGAACAAAAGGACAGCAACTTGTCTGTTCCCCCAATTCCCCAGCGCTGTTTCCATCCCCCAATTCCCCCAATTCCCCCAATAAAAATCTTTATAAAAAAAAAAGAATATGAAAGATAAGTACTACCCAATTCCACAAATATGAGGCATCTAAAATAGTCAAGCTCATAAAATCAAAGATTGGAACGATGGTTACCAGGGGCTGGAGAGGATGGGGAGATGGGGAGTTATTAATCAATAAGCATAAAGTTTCAGTTAAGTAAGATGAATAAGCTCTAGAGATTGGCCACACAACATGGTACCTGTAAATCAATAACATATTATTGTACACTTAAAATTTGTCAAGAGGATAGATCACATGCTAAGTGTTCTTCCCACAATAAAATAAAAATTTTAAATAGAAGGATACAAATACCTGAGAGTCATGCTCTATTTCTAAGTTTCCCAATAAGCTTTATTTAAGATGAAAGTAGATATAACATGAAAAGAAAAGGAGTCTGTGGTCCAAGAGGTCTGTGAAATGCTGCATTAAACAAAGTTAAGGCAGTTTCTTTACCGAACAACCTCTCTGAGTCTTTACTATACAGCATGTACAGCGAATCCCCAGGAGGGAAGCATGGTAAATGATCCTTCACATACTTATTTAACTATGGAACTCTGTTTCCCAAAGAATAAGTATGAACACCCTGAGGTTCCTCCCAACCTACTTGTGGACTGCAGCTTTAAGCTATTATCCACTGTTTACACCCAGTGTACAAAGGTTTATCAGATCTATTCCCAAAAGCAGGTTTGAGTGCTGGAGGCAAACCCAGCCCCACCCCAACGTGGAGAGAAACTTTTACATCATAATTTTATCTCCCCAGCCCAGGTAGAATCCATCTTGACCACCACACAACCAGAACATCACCAAGAACCTCTTGCATGGCAGGCTTGGTGCTTGGTGGTTTTATGTAGATTAGCTCATGTAACTTGAGGGAGAATTATTCCCTCTTCACCCCTGAATTCACCAGTTTGTGGTGCAATTCTTTTTCTCCTCCCTCCTTCATTGAGCCACATAAAGAACTTCTATCTGACTGGATGTTGCAGTAGCTAATTTAAACCAACAGAGAGCGCTGGAGTCACCCAAAATGAATTTTCATGACATCTCCAAAATACTACCAGGAAGGGTAGAATTAAGGGATGATCATGGTGAATCTTTTGTTTTCAAATCTCTAGACAGGAAAGAAATTAGACTTGCCCTAGATGCAATGCACAAACTGTTTTATTACATAAAACCTAATACATTTCAGAGCATGTAAAGGGCCGCCCACTCAGAGTGCTGGGGAATGGTGCCCTTGCATCTCCTCTCTATTCTTATCTTCCCCTCTCTGCCCCCTTGCAGCTCCTCAGGGCCCTCCAATGACTCAAGTCCCCACCAACCAAATTTCCCATTCTCTGCCTCTTTGTTGGTAGAGAGCTTGTCTCACACCAACTCCAAGCTTATGTGCTAATGCATGACTCCCTCCCCTAAGATGGGCCTCCTGTGGACCCTCTGCCTTGGCTCCCCTACAGGCTTTCTAGCCCCAGGGGACCTAATGTCATGGTCTTTCTGGTGGGAGAGGAGAGGCAGAGCCAGGATGTGGGGAGAGAGATGATGACTTAGAAAGAGACACCCCACCCCATCCCCAGGGTTGGTGGTGAGAGGACCTGTGTTTTATCCCCAGTGCTGCCACTCTAGGCCTGAGTGAGGGGCTGGGGAAACATTTCTCCTCTCAATGTCTCAGTGTTCCCAACTGTAAAGTGGGGCTTGTGATTCTCAGTGGCTGAGAGTGGCAAAGTCCTACTGTCGAGGAGAGCATTTCCTTCTCCGATTGTGGACCTGTTCCACTTTGCCCTCTGCAGCCAAAGAAGACAGAGTCCCCAACTGCACCTTAGCCTTGCTAAGGGTGAAATGGCCACTCCTTCCTGACTCTGCACACTGGATCACTTGAAACTGTGATGGATGAGTAATTCTAATGCCCGTCCCTCCCGTCCCATGTCTTTATATAGTCACATAAAGTAATTTCAGTTGAAGGGCTCCATTTGTTGATTATAATGGAATGCTCTTAAGCATACACATTATTTACTCAGTAGATTAGCTAAAAAGCATAAGTGAAAAAAAAAAAAAAAATATATATATATATATATATATATATATATATATATATATATATATCAAGGCTGCTACTGCCTTTAAAATGCCCTTGGTTGCTTTATTTTTCAGAGTAGTTAATCTGTAATGCTTTATGACAACATGTCACAGTAGATTGCAATACCCTCATTAATATTTTCCTTGCTGTTATTAGTCACAAATAAGTAACACACAACTCCTAAGATAATGCTATAAACAAAGTCTATAAACATTTATGGGAAGTGTTGGGCTAATAGGAATCTAATTGTTTTTATAATACTCTATTTCCAGCTAACAGGGCAGATAAAGAATTCTAAGGAAACCTCCCTCGTGAATAGAAGAAACCTAAGACAAATTCTTCCTCCCATGAGTCACTCCTAACTTCAGGGATGAATTATTTCTGCCCTTGGGATCCCAAAAGCCAACAGGAGTGCCTGAGGATACCATAGCCAACCAAGCTCATGTTAGCCTAAGTTCTCTGACATTAGTCATTAAATCTCCTAGGTGCCCAAACTTTATCCTGCTCCCCAAGGGTATTTTTTCCCTCAATATCCAGCGCTTTCTGACACACACAATACAAAGTAATGGAACAGGGAAATTGGCTCCACTTTTCAAATGACAGAAACAAAGCCAATGACTTGCTCAAGGGCTAAAATCCAGGTTTCCTATTTAATGACCTTCCTACAATATTGAAAGGTAAGGGTCCTCCTTTCTGGGATATTTTCTGCAGAAAGCAAGGTCTTTATTTATTTAAATAATAATAATAATAAAATAATTTATGTGTGTGGTTTAAAAATAAACAGCACAGAAAGTTACACATTGAAAAATGAAAGTGGCCCCACTTTCATCACTTGGCCCAAAGGTAACAACCATCATTGAGAGGTTCTTGTCTATTGGAGTTCTTAAACGGCTTGCTGAAAATTATGTATCAACAGTTATGTTCCACAGCCCCTAAAAATAATAATTCTGAAGATGAAAACATGGAAAAATGTTTATAGTTTGATGCAAAGAGTCAGGGAAAAGATCACAAAATGGTATAATATTCTGATAGCAATTCTGTAAAAGAATGTATACCATACAGGCAAGGCCACAATATGAAAATGCATTAGCGTTATAGGATTCAGGGCGCTTTCCCCTCCAGATTTTCTTAAATACCATTGTTACATTTTGTTTGTTTTTAAAAATTATTTGTTTTTTTGCAGTTTCAAAGGTGGGGGAGCAGAAATTTTAAAAGACAACATATTCCTTATGGACATAAGGATATACATACATATGTAGTAAAAACACAAAAATATAGACCAAAAGAATACACACCAATTTGAGATAGTGTTTACCTTTTAAGAAAGAAGGAAATAGGTCAAGAGGGGTAGAGATAAGCCTTTGATCATATCTATAATATTTTATTTCTTTTTAAAAAATGATGAACTGTTTAGATCTATAGAATTGATATGGTGGCATTTATTCTTTGTACTTTTCTGTATGTTTGTATGTCTGAAGCATGTCATTACATTTTTTCTCTTTATTTTATTTCTCAATTAAAGTTGACTGTCATTACTTTTTTTTATTTATAAAAATAGGGGACTGAATAGGACATATACTACCAGCTTTGATATAAAATAACTCACCTATAATCCTATGAGACTATTTCACAGCTCATGCCAGAGTTTTCCTTCTCTAAACTATTAGTCTTTAATAAAGAAAAAAGTAAGAAAGAAGGAAGGAAGGAAAAGAGGGAGGGAAAGAGGGAAGGAGGGAGGGAGTGAGGAAAGGAAAGAGGGATGGAGGGAGGGGGGAGGAAATTTCCCCAATGCTGCTAAGCAAAACTAACTTGAAGTTTATTAGAAAATTATGAACCTCTAGACCAGGAGTCAGCAAACTTTTTCTGTAAAGGATCAGATAATAAATGTTTTAGGCTTTGCAGACTATACAGTCTCTTTCCAACGTGCTCAATTCTGCCTTTGAAGCATGAAAGCAGCACTAAACTTTTACAGCAACTTCACTGCCCATTTTAGATCCTTAGGTGAAAATAAGAGTTTTGGCTTCTGCTTAAAGTTTGAATGCTCATCAGCTGGGCTATTCACTTTCATACATGAAAAGAGAAATTTGAGCATTTATGAAAGTGAATAGCCCAGCTGATGAGCACTCAAACTTTAAGCAGAAGCCAAACCTCTTATTTTCACCTAAGGATCTAAAATGGGCAGTGAAGTTGCTGTAAAAGTTTAGTGTGGTTGTGAAC